CTTGTTTGCTGTTAAGAATTCAGTTATTTTTGTTCTTCCAGAGTGAAATTGTTTACTGGTTGTTTAATATTTGATACTTAACTGCAAAAGGTACATTTCATTTTTTAAAATACTGCTTAGAGTTTATTGCTTCTTAAATCTGTAGATTCTTGGAAAATCCCAGATAATATCATTTCCTTTTTTCTTTTTTCTAAGGACATCTTTGCAGTATATAATGAGTATTTCCACTGTGGCCCATTGGGATGTGCACATAACACATCTTAATCTCTCTTACACCCTCTTTCCCTCCTGCCTCCCCTTTCCTCCTCTCTCCTTTCATCGCCTGGTACCCTTTCCATTTGCAAAGGATGTGTCTCTCTGTTTACTATTGTATAGCTTATTTTGCTGTTTAATTCATTTGTACTTTCAATTTCTCATGTAAGAGAAACCATCCAATATGTAAGTGTGTGTATCTGGTTGAGTTCACATAACATAATGGATTCAAGATGCCTTTGTTTTAATACAAAAGACTCAGATTTATACTTCTTGATAGCTGAGCAGCACTGTACTCCACTGAGGCTTAAACATCACATTTTTCACTATTCATTTATATGTTGATGGATCTAGAGGCTGGTTCCAAGATTTAGTTATTATGAATTGTGCTCTTATAAACATGGCTATGCATATATCACTAATTGATGTCTTTTGGAAAGATACATTGGAGGGGAATGGCTGGGTTGAATGGAATTGCTGATTTTAGTTTTGAGTAATTTCTTTTGAGAAATGTCTATCACAGCAATTCATTTTTTGATTGGATATTTTATTTGGGGGGTAGTTTTTTAAGTTCTTTGTATATTTTTATTAATCCTCTGTCCATGGTATAGCTGACAAAACTTTTTCCTTACTATATAGGCTGTCTCTTTTCTCTGTTGTTTCCTTTGCTGTGCAGAAATTTTAAAATTTGATATAATCCTATTTACAGATCCTTTTTCATTTGTTGATTCTTGATATTATTTCTTCTTTGATTGGGGTTTTGTCCAGAAAGTCCTTGCCTGAGCCTATGACTTCAAGACTTTCATTTATCTTCTGGCAAGTTAAATGTATGTATTTTAACATGTCTACCTTTTTTTTTTTTTTTAAATGAATTTAGGATAGGGTCTTCAGGGTGTACAGGGTCTCACTACGTAGATCAGATTTAGCGGACCCAGGGATTGAACTCATGCCTTTGCACTTGCCAGGGAAGCGCTTGTTCCACGGAGCCATCTTCCCAGCCCATAGATCAGATTTGTAGTGATTCTCCTGTTTTCAGCCTCCCAAGTGCTGGGATTACAGGTGTCAGCTGCCACACCTAGTCTCAATTGCAGTCTCAGCGTGCCCCAGGGATGTGGCTGGTCCAGCACAGCAGGGATTGAACCTTGGCTGCTGCACTCTGCCTCGGCAGGGCTTTAGTCCACTAAGCTATCTGGCTAGCCCTAACATGTCCACCTTTGAATCATTTCAATTTTAGCTAAGTACATAGTGAGAAATAGCTTCTATATATGAGAGCCAGTTTTCCGAGTACCACTTGCTAAAGCAGTACACATTTTTGTCCTCTTTATCAAACATCAGATAGCTGAATGTGTCTGGGATTTTTTCTGCCCTGTGTTCTTGCCTGTTGATTTACATGTCTGTCTCTGCGCTGGTACCATACTGTTTCTTGTCTTTGTAGGTTTGTAATATAACTTGAAGTTTGGGATTGTGATGCTTCCTGCTTTGTTCTTGTTGCCCAAGATTTCTTTTACCGTTCTGGTTCTCTTGTGGTGCCCCATAAATTTTTAGATTGTTTTCTCTAGTTTTGTGAAGAATATGGTTGGGATTGCATCAAGTCTGTAGACTAGGTTTGGAAATATGGCCATTCTGACAGTTCTAATTCTGTCTATTCAGGGTCAGAGAATGTCTTTCCATTTCTAGTATCCTGTTCAATCTCCTTTTTGAATGCTACAGTTTTCATTGTAGAGGTTTTTCACATCCTTGGTCAAACTAATTTCTAAGAATTTAATTTTTATTAGTGTTATTACAGATTGTATGGTTTTCCTAATTCATCAGTTGATTCTTTATTGCTATACAGAAAAGCTATTGATTTTTGTGTATTGCTTCTGTATCTTGTTATACTGCTGAATATCATTATTAGCTCAACGAGATTTTTTGGTGGGAATTTTTGGATCTTCTTTGTAAAAAAAATCATGGCATCTATAAAAAATGATAAATTGAATTCTTCCTTTGTTTTACATATCTATTCTGTTTCTTTCTTGCCTGATTTCTGTAACTAATGGTTTGAATTCTCTACTGAACAGGAGTAGTGGTAGTGGAAAGCTTTGTCTTATATCTAATTATAGAAAGAAAGCTTTTGTCCTTTCTTGATCTAATATGATATTGACCATTGGGTTGTCATAAGTGACTTTCATTAAGTTGAAATATGGTCCTTTAATGCTTATTTTCTTTAGTGTTTTTATCATGAGTGGATGTTGGATTTCAACAAAAGCTTTTTATGCTTCTATTGATATGGTCATATGATTTTTGGCCTTGTTTCTATTTATATGCTGTGTTACTTTTACTGATTTGTGAATGTTGGACCATCTTTTCATCCTTGTGATGAAATGTATTTGGTCATGCCATATGGACTTTTTCATGATTTGATGCATTCCACTTGCCAGTATCCTGATAAGGATCTTTAGTATCTATTTTTATTAAAGATATTATTTTGGGGCCAGCCAGATAGCTCAGCAGATTAAAGCACCTGCTTAGGCAGATGCAGAGGTCAGAGGTTCAATCCCCAGCCTGCTGTGCTGGCTCTACGCCTAGGGTGTGCTGAGATGGAGACTGAGATTGGGCGTGGTGGTGTATGCCTATAATCCCAGCTCTTGGGAGGCTGAAAACAGGAAAATCACTACAAGTCTGATCTACATAATGAGACCCTATACACCCTGTAGACCCTGCCCTAAATTCATAAATAAATATATTCTTCTGTAGTTTTCTTTTTCAGGTGCATCCACATTAATTCAGAATTACAGTAACTCTAGGTTCTGTGGATGGGTTTGTAAATATTTTTTCTTTCAATTTCACTGAGGAGTTTGAAGAATATTGGTGTTACACTGACTCTGAACGTCTTGTAGCATTCAGCAATGAATCCACCAGGACCTGGACTTTCCTTAGTTGGTAGCGGTTCTTTTTCTGCTTCAATTTCATCTCTGATATTATAGTGCTCAGATTTTTTTGTCTTCTTGGTTCAATTTTGTTAATTCATATGTGTTTAGGAATTTGCCCACTACTTCAAGGTTGTCTAGTTTGCTGGGGTGCAATTTTTCATAGTAGTTACTAATGACTTGTATTTTGGTTGTGTCTGTTTTGATCTCAAATATTGTCTCTGCTACATTCTCCTTTTTATCTTGTGATTATGAAAAAATTATATTAGATATTCTTATGACACTTCTTTTCCCCATCTACTTTCTATTGCATCTTTGACTCATTTGTGGTATTTTCTTCTGACTTATCTCCTCATTAAATAATTTTTCTTTTACTGATAGTAAATCTACCTATTCAATTCTCAATCCTGTTATCTGTCAGCTCTAAGCATTCTATTTTTCATTTCTTTCCACACTGCATTTTATTCTTCCCTGTACTCTGTAGATTTGTCTTTGCTCACCCCCGTATAGTAATTAATTACTTTGTCTTCTGAACTTCACAGTTCTAGTATTTGGAATCTTTAGGCATCTGATTTATTGATTCTGCTACCTCTTGCTTGAGATGTTTTGCTGCTTTATGTGTCTGATGGTATTTGGTGCTAGTTATTGTACTTATTGTCCTTTCCTTTTGCTAGACAATTGCAGTGTTTTCATTCAGGACCACTTTACTGTAAATTCAAGTTTGAAGCAGGACATACCAAAATGTCATGAGTCATTGAGGGCTGGTATTTTAATAATTCTCACTTTTTCTAAAGACACAGGCTTGAGCTCCAGGTTACTACCCTTTCCATTGTGTGTAAGCCTGAGCTTTGATTTTGGTTGTCCTTGATGCCTGAAAATATAAAAATGGGAATTCGAATTATACGGATTAGCAAATATAATCAGGGAAACTGTAACTATTCTGTTTACCTATGTAGGTTTATATTTTCCCTTCTGTTTGGGTCTGTTAATTTCTTTTTTTTTTTCATTACATAAATTAACCCATTTATTATAGGCTAGAGATGTCTCAAATAGTAAGAGCTTCTACTGGTCTTTCAATTCCTTCAGTCTTCTAATGGCTGACTTGACTGTGACTGCCGAAGTGGTATTGTAGGTCCAGGCGCCACCAGCCACGGTCTTCATGCAGGAGCCACAGTGCCAGATCCCCACGGCCCGCCTCTTCATCTTGGTCTTACCACAGAAGGAGCAGGTGTACTTGGCGTGCTGGCTGATTTCAACCTGTTTCACCATTTTCCGGAGAGAGGCACCATAGCAAGTCCCATATTTACCGACAATGCTGACCTTCTTGGTGTGCTTAGCCATGTCAATGCGAGGAGACCCAAACCCAGAGAGCTGAGTGTTAATTTCTTACTAGTTTGTCAGTGCAATGCTTTAAAAAAAAAATCCAAACAACACCTTGTTGGGTGATCTGAGTGATTTTCAACAAGTAGAGGATTATTTTAAATAACCTACTCCACCATTTATAGAAATGCGAAAATCTTGTCTTTTTGTTACTAAAATTTATTTTTTTCAAGGTTTATAAAAAGTGTAGTTTAAAGGATAGTCCAGATCAGTGGGTGGGATTCTGTAGATTTACTCTCTTTGTATTTTCTTCTTCCCTTCCTTCTCTCCTCTTCATCCTCTTCTTTTCTGTCTTTGTCTCTGTCCTCTCCCCTTTCCCTCTTTCTCTTTTTCTTTTTTTGCTGTTGCTGTTTTGAGCTTCCCTAACCTTACAGACGTTTTCCGGAGCTCTCTTTCTCCAGTGGCCACCTTAGAACTATGGATCCCTGAACTCGCAACTCTTCTGGTTCTCCTTTGCAGATGCTGAGGAGCAGCAGGAGTCAGAGGAACATGTTGAGCACATCCCGTTCTCCCACACCCGCTATCCCGAGGAGGAAATGGTTAAGAGAGCGCAGGAATTTTATGAACTTCTCAGTAAGAGACGGTCGGTCAGGTCCATCAGTAGTGAGCCTGTCCCAATGGAAGTCATTGACATTGTCATCAAAACAGCAGGTTAGTGACTGCATGTTGGGTCTTGGAGAATGGCAGCTGCCTTACTAGAGTGATGCTACTGGAGCAAGACTGAAATTCAAGCATGTGAGTGCAGTGACAGTGACAATATCAATACAGTCTGCTATGCTGTAAGTCTACTTTGCTACAGAATGGTAATGAACTAGCAAAGTTGACCTGTGTGAATTTCCAATGTAAACCAAAGCAAGACTGATTCATTTCCAATGTAAATTAATATCTCTCTAGGGACAGGAGTTGGGAGGCTCAGAGAAAGGAGAGAAGTTGTAAGCTTGTCTCCTGAGTGTTCCCTCTGATCAGTCTTACTCTTCTCTAAATCTAAATTTAGATTCATTTGTAGAAATTGTTGTATGGTCATCGTGACTCTATTGTCTAACTTATAAGGAAGCAAATATAAGATATTCTGCTTCAGTTAAGAGTACAACTATACTGCACCAAAAAGTTGATGTTGAAATTTTTTATGTTTTCTATACACTCAAATACTAAAAATTCAATACTTCAAAAAAAAAAAAGAATACAATTCTATTGATTGGGGTGTGTGTGTGTGTGTGTGTGGGTGTGTGTGTGTGTGTCTGTGTGTGTGTCTGTGTGTGTGGCACTGGTGATTGAGCTCAGGGCCTTGTGCATACTAAGCAAGCACTCTACCACAAAGCTACATCCTCAGCCATTGTTGAATGCTTTAACAAGCAACAGTCACTAAATTTCTTATGTAACTATACCTGTATATTTGTGTGTGAACATACAATGTTAAGGTAAATTTTGCCTAATTTTTTAGGGAGAAATTTTTCTTTCATTATATTGATAGTCATAAATATTTAGTCAACAAGTAAAATGGGTATAAAATTAGTAGAAATCACTGTAGAAATAAAGGTCTCCTGCTTAGCTTTTGACTTTCATTTTCCAACCCTGCTGTTGGGAGTGTCGGGCAGTAAGTAGCCAATGACCCTCATAAGAGTCCACAGGCCTCACCCCCTCCACAGGTAAAGTTTATTCCACCTAACTACTGGCCAAGAAAGAAGAAATCATTGCTTCTGCAATATCCTACCTGCAGGTCACTGTAGCCCTCCCTGGGGTATAGTGGGCCATCTCCATGACTAAGAGGTGGCCCACAGGTCAGCAGCTGACCCTAAACCCCATCCCCACCCCCGGATGTTCATGGGGAATTCAAGCTCCTTGGATGAAGGAGTACTCCATGGATCTACCCCAGGGCCCTGGAGCTGATACAGCTGAGCTTCCCAAGCCCTGCAGGAGCAGAAAGTTACCCTGCTCTGCTGCATCCTGGAATCTCCCAAAGAAAGTGCTAAATCCTGCAGTGGCAGACTCAGAGCTTTGGCAGTGTATGGTTTGCTTGCCTTTTGAGGAATGTTTTAGCAATCATTTTATCATTGATATTTTTCCATCTCCAGTAAACTTCATGGCAGTATCTTTTCTTCAAGCATATCAAAGCACATGGTTGGCTGGGGAGATAACCCAGTGATCTAAGTGCCTGCCTGGCAAGAGCAAAGGCCCAAGTTCAATCCACGGTACCACATGCTGTGCCAGCCCTATGAGTCTGAGCTGTGTAGTGAGACTCTATCAAATAAATAAATAAAAAGAAAAAAATATTTTTTAAAAAAACTAAATTTGGGGTGGGGAGATTACTCAGTGGCATGAGTGCCTGCCTGGCAAGTGCAAAGGTCCTGAGTTCAATCCCCAGTACCACACAAAAAAACCCCAAAACAAAGCACTTGGCATTTTTGGTGAATTTGAGCTGTCACATCCCACTCACTGACATTCCTCAGTGGTCATGTTGTGGTTACTTAGGGATGATTTTGTGCCGTGAACTGAGAAGCAGGTATGAGTTTCCCCAGTTCTGAGACAGCTAGGGTGAAAAGGCAGGAAGAGTAGCTGCTGCTGGCCGGCCGGAGCCCCCAGGAGGAGCCTTGCTTCTCAGGTCATCTGCCTTTGTTGTGAGCATGGAAGAAGCACTGCGCTGATGCTGGGTCACAAGCTCACGCTGCCCTACTCTTCAAAGTCTGACTTTAACTTAATGGATGACAGGAACAGCCCCCAGCGGGGCCCACACAGAGCCCTGGACCTTTGTGGTGGTGAAGGACCCAGACAGGAAGCACCAGATCCGGGAGATCATCGAGGAGGAGGAGGAAATAAACTACATGAGGAGAATGGGACCCCGCTGGGTTACGGACGTGAAGAAACTGAGGTATAAAGGTGTGGGACTGGGATGTTCAGTTTGACTTCCCAGAAGGAGATGATTGCTGGGCTAGTGGGTTCTCAATGCTCTTTTATATTCAATTAACATGTATTTATGGTGCATCAGAATGTGGTTCAGTGAGGCTTTTCAACACATGCACGCAACATGCACTAATCAGATCTGCTCCTGGTTTCAAGTGCCAGAAAGTTAGAGTCTATCTCTGGAATAAATTGTGAAAATTAAGTCAGACCCAGATAATAACTTTCAAAATACAGCTCTGAAGAATCACTTCAGTTTTCATCCATCTGGAGCATAAACTTGTGAAATAATTTTCAAAATCTTGATGAAGCAGATCATGTTTTGCTTACGGTGGCCGGGCAGTTCTTACAAATCAACTTTACTGAGCAGTCTGAGGACAAGTTAATTCAAGTAAGTCTCTTGGGCATTAATAACTATGGGCTTCAAGAAAGAAGCCAAGTGGGACTTAGTTTAACTACAGGGATGTGGGTGATGACTCTGATTCTCAATTCTCAGAAGGCCACGCTGGGAGAACGTTTAGAGTATGCAGGGGTCCAGCACTCTGCCTCTCTACTGCGGGCCTTACCTGTGGCTCCTGCTGTCCACAGTTCCACAGAGACAGTAGCCTAATGAAGGATGATGGCGCCTCACTCTTGGGGGTACAGTGGACTTCTTGCCCAGGAGTTAGCACTAGAGGGGCAGCAGGGTCTCTTGGCTCTGCTTCTGTTTCAAATATTGTCCCCAGAAATCAATTTTCTCCTAAGGTATTTAGCAGAAGTGATGCCTTGTGGATTCCTAACCTACTACTGTGCTCTGGAACAAGTAGAGGCTATTAATAATGAACTTATAAATCAGATTGTGTGTTTATGAGAAGAAATGATATAAGTAAAGATTAAGTTGAGTTTCCATGCCTGGAGCGATGTGGGTCTCTTGGTGTGCGCACTACCAACAGAGTACTGTCACTCTTCATGTGTCTCTTGACCAAGGCAGGGTGAATTGCTGTCTACCTGGGTACCCAGTGGATCTCTCATACACCTTCCACAGATCTAGAATAGCCACTACCAGCCAGAATTTTAATTACTGGTTTATTTTTCTTCTGATGTTACAGGCCATTTTTAAGATATCTGCACTCATAGAATAAGCACTTGCCTGGCAAGCACAAGGTCCTGAGTTCAATTGCCGGTACTGCAAAAAAAGAACAAAAAACAAACAAACAAAAAAAAATCTGCACTCTAAGAATACAGTTATAGGCTATGCCAACCAGTAATCTCTCTCTCTCTCTCTCTCTCTCTCTCTCTCTCTCTCTCTCTCTCTCTCTCTCTTTCTCTCTCTCAACCTAACCTGGGTTTAGAAAGCCTCACAGTGTACCACCCAGACCCATTCTGATTCCAGTAGGCTCCTGAATACCCATTTGTTAAACTGAATAACAGGCAAGCATCTGCCTGTGGTCCTGTTTCAGCTGATTCTGAAACGCATAGCTGTTATTAATTCTTGATACACAGCACAGAGCCAACTCACCTTGCAAACCTCATCTCCTCTGGCAGGAGAGCCAGAGGAGAAGGCACCGATTGTCCTTCTTTTAATAGCCCTGTTTGCTGCTGTCTTTTTAACAGCTTTCATATGATATTATAGCGAATTTGTATAAAATTTCACAAATCAAAATAATACCAATGTTTACCAGTGTTGCAAAGGTATTTTATTTCATTTTTCACCCATTGAATAAATCTGCATTGAATACTTATTGTATTCTATGACTGTTCTGGGCTCTGGGCATTTATTTATAAATAAAGAACTCTGCCCTTGTGGACCTTACACTAGACTGGATGGGATTGGCAAAACATTTACATAAATCCAAGCATACCTATTGGCAAAAAGACACACACATTTAATAGTATAATTATTAATAATAGAAAAGTCTATTGGTCGTATGAAGTTTTTTTGTTTTTGTTTTGTTTTGTTTTGCGGTATCAGGGATTGAATTCAGGACCTTGCACTTGCCAGGCAGGTGCTTATGCTGCTTAGCTATATCCCCAGCCCCAATATGCAGTTTTATTGTACGTTGTATGTACTATTGTGCAAAGGTTTTTTAAGTGATTGGCCTGCCTTAGAATATAAACTGCTTAGCCTTCATCTAATATTTTAAAATTTGTCACTTACTCTTTCTATATTTTATATGCTTTTAAAAATTTCAATAATATAAAATCAGAATTTAAATCATGACAATATCCACAGAGAATTCAAGTGTATCTGTCAGAACCCACTGTGGAGATGCACACAGGGGTCTCCTGGGCACAGTTGGCGCACCAGGGACAGCACGGGTGGGAAGGAACTGCGGAGAGCTGCTGCCTGGTCTGCCCAGCACATGAAGCCACCAGCAGTACATGTTATGGAAGAATTGGAAAGTGCTAGAAATAGAGCGAGGAAAAAGAAAGTGGATTAAAAATAGCTCTTTTGTACTGATATTTCCATGATTTAAAGTTTGGAGCCAGGAGTGGTGGCACATGACTATAATCCCACAACTCAGAGGCTGAGGCAAGAGCTTGAGCCCAACTGGGTCAACTTATCAACTTAGTGAGATCCTGCCTCAGGAAATGAAAAAGTACTGGTGACATAGTTGAGTATAAAGGCATTCAGTTCAATCCTCAAGGCTACACTCAGTCAATATCTGATTTTGTGTCTAAAAGTCCCTTTATATATTTGAACTTATTTCACCCTCAGGAAGAGCTCGTGAGGTGGGTGCACAGTAGTAAACCTGACATATAAGGAGCCACAAGAGGTGAAGTATCTCGTCCAAGTGGCCAACATCATCCAGCTCCAGAGTTGGTCTTCTAAGCTCTGAATGTCCTTCTTCTCTGTGAGGCAAAAATAATCAGTAGCAGTCAAGAGGGCCCGAGTTCATGGGAGTATGGCAAAGTGGCTCTGAGGGTGGAACGTGGATGCTTTCATAGCATAAGAACCAACAAAAATGCACAAGTGAGTGTACTGTGTTTTAGAACAGTGAACCACAGCCAGGCTAAGAATGAAATGAACAGCTAACATCTCTTGCTAATTAAGGACACAACATCTCCTAAGGAACAGTTCCAGAATACTGGAGTACAGGACTATATTGGGTTGTTTCTCTCCTCTGAATGTTTGAGAATGAAATTTCTGCCAAAATGTATGTAGCACAGCCGTGGAACCAAGACGGAGATATTCAGCTCCACATTTATACTTCCTAAGAAGGATTTCTCCGCACCTCAAACATTCCCCTCTTTTTGCATAGCTAGACTAATATTGCTTCACTGAAATCCTTTCCCATCCTCTCTGTCTCCTCTCCTGCTCCTGTACTGGACTCTGATTTTGTCTCTCCAGCCCTACACCCACCCCAGCACCCCCAGTTATCTCTTCTCATCCTCCTTCCTGCCTGGACCATTGCTGTGGTCTCCCTTCAGCTTTTCCTTTGGGATAACTCTGTAGGCATCAGTGGACACACCAATCCACTCTCTGAAACAGACCTGATTCTGTGATTCTTCTGCTCAGAGGCTGGGATATCTCTCCATTAGCTTCTCAGCAGGCCAGGCCCATCTGTGCGGAACTCACTAGCCCATCATGTCCTGCCAAGCACCCCACCCTCTGACCATCGTGCTGCTGGAGATGCCTGGCCCACTGGGCCTTCCTCCTGACCCTGCCTTGGCTCACCTCTGCTCTTCATGGGATGCCCTCCCCACCCACCTACTCCACCCCATCTTCAGAGCCCAGCTTGTGGCTGCTTCTGGAGACTTTCCTCCCTATCATTATTTAAAATTTTAGAGTGTTCCCAATGCCTCTAGTTTCTCTTTCTTTACTAGCACTACTTACCCAGGCTTTCTTTTGTAGATGCTGATTTAGTGCTCTCTGGGTCCTGGGTGTGTCTTTGTATCTTTCAGTAACTCACAAATGTATGTTTATTGGATTCAGTTGGGCAAAAAAAGATGAATAAGATACACACACATCCTTTTCCAACATAAGCATAAAAGACAAGTTAACATGTTTTCATTTGTGTTTAAGCTAAAGTAGTAAGAGAAAACACAAATATTGGGCAAATATCTTTCTGAATCTCACCCCCTTCCCAGAACCAATTGGATTAAAGAGTACTTGGACAAGGCCCCTGTTTTGATTCTCATTTTCAAGCAAGTACATGGTTTTGCTGCAAATGGCAAGAAAAAGACCCATTACTACCATGAGATCAGTGTGGCCATCGCGTGCGGCATCCTGCTCGCGGCGCTGCAGGTACGTTGCCCCCTCAGAGGCCCAAAGGATACCAGGGAGTCTTAGGGGCCTAGGGTGGGCTTATTAGAAACCTGAGTTTCCCATGCAGGTCTTGTAGAAATGTTTATCTAAGATGGAATTCCTAAGTGAGGTAATCAGTGTGGAGACCAACGGGCCCTGGAGACCTGGGGTGGTGAGGGTGACGGTTCAGCGAGCTGGGAATCTTCTGGAAGCGCACTTGAAACTCATTTCAGGATCAAAAGATTGCTCCTGCTTTAGCTGCCGTCACGGTTTAAGGGGTCTGGCAGAGGCACACGCAGACCGACGGCACCGGAACGTCACAGAGACTAACTCCACAAATGTATGCACTTTTGCTACGGGAGCTGAGGCAAACACTTCAAAGCTGGAGGAGGACTCTGTCCGGGAGCACCTTTCCTGAGAAGCTGGGTTCACATGGCTGCCATCTCCACAGCAGCCGGGTGATGCCGACAGGAAGTGGGACAGGACTGGCTTCCAAGCCATTCGGGTCACTCGCTCCGCAAGCACTCCCTGAGCCCCTGGCAAGTGGCGCTCCTGGAAGGAGCTGAGGGTGACTGTCCCATGAACATACGTTCTGGTGGGGCCTGGGATTCAGGTATAGGGAGAAGAGAAATGGCGAATGGATGCTGTGTGACAGCAGATTGTACAAGTGGATGATCTACTTTCAAAGAACAATGTATCACACACACACACACACACACACACACACACACTTTCACACTATCTCAATGTAAAAAATTGGTCATTGTTGCACAAAAAGAAAACCGCATTTTTAGATCACTTGAGAAATTATCTTGAAGAAGCTGGAGTTCGTCTTTCTTCCCGAATCTGTGAGCAGACAAATTAAAAAAATCCCCGTGCAGCCTTCAGACCAGGAGAAGCTGGGCCAGCAGCTTAGTTTGCCTTGCTCTGGGTCTGAGCAGCGTGCTGCTTCTGTGATACCGTACTGTGGAGTGTGCTGCCCTCTAGTGGTCATTTGGTTGTTCCGTCCTCTCCTCTTCTTTCCCCTTCCCTCCCCTCCCCTCCCCTCCCCTCTCCTTTCCTCTTCTGTTCTGTCCTGTTCTCTCCTGTCCAGTCCAGTCCAGTCCCGTCCTATCCTGTTGTTTTGAGACAGGGTCTTGATGTGTGGTTCAGCCTGGCCTTGAACTCACTATGTAACCCAAGCTGGCCTGGCACTAAGGGAAATCCCTCCCAAATGCTGGGATTACAGGTGTGCCCCACGACTCCAGGCCTTCTTGGCATAACTCAGCAGGTCTCAGCCTTAGTGGGAGAGAGAACATCAGGAGGCCCCCAGCAGGAGCTCTGCCACACAGGACAGCACACAGGAGCAGCTCCCTGACCTCCGAAGCCTGGCTGCGGGTGGCTTCTCACTGGGACAGCATGGGCGGCACAGGAGGCAACTGGAGCAGTTCATGAAGGTTACACATTATTTTTTCCTTAGATGTTTATTATATGGAGACTTGGGGACAAGATCAGAGAGGTATTTTCTCTACCCCCAGTGTCCCCTTTGGCCCTGGGTACCCTGTCCTTGGACCTAGTGATTGCCCAGGAGTAGTTCACATGTGCTTGTTGTGGTTTAGAGTAAAATATAGAAATCTTTATTAATACACTAAATTTCAAGGCCTGCTAGTCAGTCTACAACTTTAAAGTAATGAGTATAATGATTTTTTAAGCAGTCTATAGCAGTCTTTTCTAGCTGGAACCATGGAGGGTGTACAAGAGAAGAAAAAGAAGGTTCCCGCTGTGCCAGAAACCTTAAGAAAAAGTGAAGACATTTCGCAGAGCTGAAGATAAAGTGCCTGAGAAAGAAGTTTGCCCAGAAGATGCTTTTCAAGGTGAGGGGGAAGCTCATCATAAAAAAGCTCTTCAGGAGTACGGGCAGATGTACAGAACTGAGATCTGAATGGCTGGCATGGTGAGAAAAGCTGGCAACTTCTATGTCCCTGCGGAGCCCAAACTGGCAGGTGTCATCCGGATCAGGGGTATCAATGGTGTGAGCCCAAAGGTCTGCGAGCTGCTGTAGCTTCTCCGCCTTCGCCAAATCTTCAGTGGTACCTTCGTTAAGCTCAACAAGGCTTCGATTAACATGCTGAGAATTGTGGAGCCAAACGTTGCATGGGGGTACCCAAACCTGAAGTCAGTGAACGAACTGATATATAGGCGTGGCGATGGCGAAATCAGTAAGAAGCAAATTGCCTTGACAGATAGTTCACTGATTGCTCCATCTCTTGGTAAATACGGAATCATCTGCATGGAGGATCTGATTCACGAGATCTATACTGTTGGAAAACGCTTCAAAGAGGCAAATAACTTCCTGTGGCCGGTCAAGTTATCATCTCCTCGAGGTGGAATGAAGAAAAAGACCACTTATTTTGTGGAAGGTGGAGATGCAGGAAATAGGGAAGACCAGCTCAACAGGCTTATTAGAAGGATGAACTAAGGTATCTACCACAGTGTTTTCATGATTTGGTCAGTTAATAAAGTATCTGCTTCCAAATTGAAAAATAAATAAAAGTCTATAATAGTTGTAAACTAATACATGAAAATATCTGTGAATTTTATTGGCAACAAGTCATAGTCATTGTTAACACTATGTGACTTGTTGTCTACATTTATACTTGGAGAAAATGCTAAATTTCAGTTAGCAGTTAGTGAATATAAAGCTGCCTTCATGTTTTCAAGTTCAGAGACTTGCTGAATTTAATCCTTAGCCCTTTGGGGCTCAGAGGATTCAAGGTTTAAAAAAAAAAAAAACCACTTGACTTTTGACCAGACCAAAGTACTCATCAAGAGAAAATGGAAGGTAAAATACTAACACAAATCAGTTTTATATTAGCAAGCAGAATTGTTTAGTATGTTCTAGATCGTCACATATCTCTACTGCCAAAGATACACAAAATTCAGTGTGGAGTAAAAGCTATGCTTTAAAAGATGCCTAATATATGACATGACATCAAATTACGTACTTTCTTGAGATTCAGCCATTCTCAATGCAAGTACTACGTGAAGATACGATAAAGGAAAGAAGTGCCCTAACGTGATAGAGACGGTGTAAGCTCAGGATGGAAGAGCAAGTGATAGCTTATCCCAAGCTCGTGGATCCTTGAGAACGGCCCTCAGGCAGCACGGACTCCTGGAGAATCAGAGTACGCGGGAGGCCTTTAGAAGAGGCCATGTTAAGTCATGCCAGCACCTTCAACCTTTATAAATGTTCATATTACAGACATTGATAACAAACTATAGTCGGATACTGAAATCCAGGAAAAGGGTATCTAGCAGGAAAACTGTAGTAAATGAGGGTTAGGACCCTTTTCAAGCCCTTCATTATCATTTCGATTATATTCCAGGTATAGCCTTATCTCTTGGGAAAAAGGAACCCTCAGTTGTTTTGTTTCCTTTGCTGTGGACAGATCCCTCAAACTCCTTTTCATAAAGAAACTATTCCCACTTTTTAGGCATCATTGAAAAACAAGACGAGCATTTTTCTTTTTCCAGAAGCTTCCAATTGCTTGGTTAGAAGAAGGCAGGGACTAGGGAGGTTAAGGAATGCAGATGAGCTCCGGGATGCCCACTCATGACGGGAACTGCAGCCTCTTCCCTGCCCACCCTCGGGGAAATAGCGGGCCGAGCAGGACAGTGTCACAGCACAGAGGGCGAACATCCAGGCCACTGCAGAGCTGGGATTCGCCTCTAACCTTAAAATTCCCCTTTCGCTTCCCCATTTCAGAATGCAGGGCTCGTGACGGTTACTACCACTCCTCTCAACTGTGGCCCTCGTCTGCGGGAGCTCCTGGGCCGCCCCCCACATGAAAAGCTGCTGATGCTGCTGCCCGTGGGATACCCCAGCAAAGAGGCCACGGTGCCTGACCTCAGACGGAAGACTCTGGGTGAGATCATGGTGAAGGTGTAGGCAGGAGCCTGCCCTGGAGACCGCAGACGGCGCTCGGACGACATCTGCATCTGCGCTGGCTGCTCACTTGCTCCCTGTGCAAGTCTGTTCTGCCGGGACTCACGGGGAAGGCCACCTGACGTCTAGACCTCTTTCCTATCTTCTAGCACTTTGCGTCCTATGAGCCCTGTTCAGGGACTTGTGGAGTGAGAGACGAGCGAGCAGGCACGCTTCAATTTCTCTCTTTTTTCTTTCTTTTTGTTAATTTAGGAATTTTTACTGTTCGAGATACTTTATATTTTTAAAATTTTAGTGGTACATTTCAGGTATACATAATGACAACATTCCTCATAGGAAATTTGTGCCTGCACGTGGTCTATCTTGCTGTCTCTTTTCACCTACCCTCCTTCCCTCCCTTCAACCCCTTTCCTTCCTTGTTTACGAAAGCTTGGTTTCCAGTTTTACTTCTGCTCTTTCTTTCCCTGTTCCTTTCTTCGCCTTCCCTCCTCCCTTGTTCCCCTTCCCATCTCAACATTCTGTTCCCATTCCCCAATATCTATAATACATTTTGGTCCTTATTTACAGTTATTTCTCACACCAGAAAAAAATGAAGTAATTAAACATATGTATCGGATTTATTTCACTTAAGGATTTCTTTCTTTCTTTCTTTCTTTCTTTCTTTCTTTCTTTCTTT